ATTGCTGAGAGCCACCCGAGGGCACTGATTTAATCTAGTTCACTGCAACAGTGTCATTTCAAAGGTGACAGAGAGAGACTAGCCTAATTTCAGACACATAGTCAGAAACTGCAGGAAGACGGGCACAGAGCAGTTTGTCATCTGCAGCTGCATTATGAAACTTGGGATAGTTGTACAAAATGCTTTATTTTTTAAAATAGTAAATAGAAGTCCAGGGTGGAAGCAGTGGGGTGCATTTTGTGTTTTTTGAAGGAAAGGACAAAATTTAAAAATAATGGCATTTACTCAACAGACAAATCTGTAAATTTCTAACAATTTCTAACTTGTTATGTTTAACTTCTGAAAATAATAGTTTTTCTATCATATAGGTTTTTGAAAATACTATTTATATAAAAAGTTTTCTGAATCTAAGGTGTCTGTGATGGTTTCTGTATGGTGTCCTCAAAGGAACCTTGGGGGCATTTCAGAGTCCACAGTTCATATACTATTGTGTGTGTGTGTGTGTGTGTGTGTGTGTGTGTGAAATAAATAAAATAAATTATTAGGGGCAAAGAATGCTTTGGAGAACAGTGTGTAAACTACCATTAAAGGTGCCCAAGTAATTTAGCTTCAGAGATGCAACACAGAGGAGCCACACCAGGAGGAGGCTGCACAGGCTTTGAAAGTGACACAGGATTCAATAACAAATCTCATACGACAGGCCTGGGCCTACTTGGGCCCTCCAGGCATTTTGGACTTCAACTCCCACAATTCCTAACAGCCATGCTGTTCTGGCTGTTAGGAATTATGGGAACTGAAGTCCAAAATGTCTGGAGGGCCCAAGTAGGCCCAGGCCTGCACACATATACAAACAACACACACACACACACAAGCACACACTGTCCTGCCTCCAAAGGCAGGATTTATAATATGTGCCCTGGGCCTTTAAGGATAAGGGTTGGGGAAGAGGAGCTTCAAATGCAAAATGGCAGTTTATTTTAGTTGGAGCTTAGCATTGGGAGGTGGTAGAAGGGATAAGAAAAAGCACAAGAATTCTAGTTACATTGGAGAAATAGGTAACAGTTACATCAGAGAGAGATAGCAGTTACATCGGAGATAGAGATAGTAGTTACAGCAATGCATGGGCAGGGTACAGCTAGTATAGAATAACCATGCAAGCACATGATGAAATTGCCCTGTATTGTAATTAAGGACTGTATGATCGAACCATTCTCGTTTATATTTACTGTGGGAACTAAACTCATATTCATCTCTTTGGACACTGAATATTGTATGAAATGACTGAATTCTGAATTTTAAATCTGTCTAATGTTCCCCAATATATGGATCCTCTTATCTTCATGAAGAAGCAACTGGAAAGCCCCTTTGATCAAAGGTTTGTTATCTTCTCAAGCTGATTCCAGGTGTCCAGCTACATTCCCTGTATTTGCCAGATGGTACACAGCAGGTGTAATACTTCAGATCTTGACCAAAAGTTGGGTACTTGTTCAGGGTATAATAACCATGGATGCATCATATCTGTTTCTGGTTGCTTCTGGAGTGAGAGAATCAGCCGTCTACGAAGACGTTGCCCAGGGGACGTCCGGATGTCTTGCAATCCTGCGAGAAGGCTTCTCTCATGTCCCCCATCTTGTCATCGCCATCTTGAAGCTAGGCAAAGACCGTAATGATCCAAAAAGCTATAGACCAATCTCCCTGTTATGCCATCTTTACAAAGTTCTGGAGAGACTTATTTTGATTAGAATTAGGGAAAAAATAGACCCCTGTCTGATTCCACAGCTAGCTGGCTTCAGGAAAGGCAAAAGCTGCACATCGCAAGTGCTGAACCTGACTCAGCACATAGAAGATGGCTTTGAAAGGCAGCAAATCACAGGAGCTGTCTTCATAGACCTGTCAGCAGCTTATGATACTGTAAATGTTCCTTCTAGGAAAAGTAGTACATTTAAATTAATTTATTTGTTTATTTGTTATGGAGGTTAGAAACACAGTACTCACACAGAAGTGAAAATACTAATAATTCTAGCATATACATGAGTCACACATTATATATGTCTTCCAACAGGCCAGTCTGAATTTAAAAACTTTCCCCATTCAGTCATTTCTTTCCCAGTCACATTTTCTTTCCCCCCTACCTCACACCATCTCCCCTCTTGCCCACCAGGACACCTTGGACTCCATTACTTGTCATCCCACCACAAGCATCAGTCTGAATTTAAGGTAGGGGTTGTGACCCAAAAGTATCAGCTAGAAAAGGGGTAGAACAATGGGGAAGGGCTTTAAATTCAGACAGAGTCTTATGGTGGGCAACAGAGTTCTGGAAAGGCAGAGAAAGAAGGGACCAGGATGCTGCTTCAGTGGGAGGGTAGGAAGGAAAGAGTTTGAAACCTGGATGTTGTTTTGACGAGGAAGTGGGGAGGGAGCAATGGGGGAGAGAATTTAAAAACTAAGTGTGCTGTCAATGAGAAGGTGAGAATGGAGTAATTGAGGAAGGAGTTTAAAATCTTAATGAGGCTCCAATGGGAAGATGGGGAAGGGAGTGAGGTGTTAATCCTGTTGGAAGGACAGCAGTGCAGAAGAACAGGAGAAATGTCCTGCTCGACTTACCGGGTAGGGGCATTGCAGCAACTGCCGTTCCCCTACCACAATGTTTCCCTGGGGCTTCTCCTTCCCAGGAGCCCCCTGTGGCTTGCATGTTTTGGTACCTTTGGGTGCACAGCCAATCAAGGCCAGACTCTGCCCTGTGCCCTGGCGATGCTCACACCAACTTTGATCTGCCACCGCAAATGCAAGAGAGGCACTCTGGCACCCGGACCAGGGTCACCCTGGATATGGTTTGGGTACTTCCCTCCTTATTGGAAAGGGGAAATGTCCATGTGGCTTATTAGGGGTGTGACAGTACCAGTGTCCCAGGCCAGAGTTGATAGGAAAACTGTCTGTGACCCTTACTATTGTTTGGTTGAATCAGTCAGCAGCAAGTTGTCCAATTCCTGATCCAAGACCCATGCAAGGCTGCCAACCCTGTTTGTATTGTAACCAATAAACAAGTTGTGGCCATAAGTTATTCCTAAACCATGTGTTCATCTATTTTTTCTATGGGGAGAGTGGTTGGAGGGGGATTGCCCCTGCTCACACAATAACAATTGGGGCAAGGAGGTGGGGATAATTAAGCAGTAGCTATAAAAGTATTGAATAACTAATCAGCATATAATATTTTGTAATGGATATATAAGATTTTGTAAATGCTATATGTGACTCCAGGTCCCATCTGTAAAGCATATGCAGTCAAAGGTATAGTTCGAAAGGCAGCCACTTCAGCTAGAAGAATGATTCCCATGCTTAAACTCCCTAAACCTCAGAAGGAAATACGAAAAGTCCAGTATGTTCCAGTTTCTGTTGCACCCGCTTATTTCCTAGTCATAGAGAGCCAATCAAAATGTATTAGATAAGCATAGGAGCCCCCAGTGGCGCAGTGGGATAAAGCACTGATCTGCTGAACTTGTTGACCAAAAGGTCGCAGGGGAGTGGGGTGAGCTCCTGCTGTTAGGCCCAGCTTCTGTCAACCTAGCAGTTCAAAAACATGCAAATGTGAGTAGATCAATGGGTACCGCTCTATCTAGCAGGAAGGTAACAGCACTCCATACAGTCATGCCCAGCCTCCTGACCTTGGAGGTGTCTACGCCGGCTCTTTAGCTTAGAAATAGAGATGAGCACCAAACCCCAGTCGGACACAACTGGACTTAAAGACAGGGGAAATCCTTTACCTTAAGCATTGACCAATGAAAATGGCAATGCATTAACACCAATAAGAATGTGCCTTTTGGAATTCTGTAAAACAATAAAACCCTGTGGCCCCATTTGGGGGGCATGCTTGTTCTTTAATGCCTAGTGCACAAACTGCTGCCATTTGCATGGCTGGCAAATAAATGTGACTCTTCAGAGAGAGATGACTCGTTGGAGTATTTCTTCCACTTCATCCTCCTGGGTCAGAAGGGGACTCCTGAGAATGTGCAGAGTGTATGCCCCTTCACCATAAATAGCCACATTCATGAAAGCAAAACATGTGAATGTGCAAGAATGGCACACAGGTACTCAGAAACAGGCCTAAGTAGCTTTAGCAGGACTAATGACCAAATGAATGTCCTTATGTTATGACTACACTTTGATGCTGCTCAGCAAAGGCATGTAGCCGGGGGGGGGGGTCCTTGGGGGGCATAACCCCCCCCCCAAATTCTCATGGTGGTCCGCGAGAAGGTCTTACTGGTACATTATTTAAACTGTTATGTTTATTCATATCATGATCTGATCACCGTGCTCAATATATCCCATATGCATGGAGGTATTGGTGTAACGATACAAAAGGTTTGCTAGGGTAGACCCTCTTTCACTCAGACTCAGCCTCCCCCCCCCCAAATCAAACTCAGCTCCCCCCGAAACAAAATCCTGGCTACGGGCCTGAGCAAAGGCCTCTGTTTTCCCCTCTGTAATGTTGGAAGGGTGTGAAATTTTGATCCAATTATATGTAGCAGACTCTGTCATTTTTGTTTCCAATGTTTGGCCTGTAAGCCTTTGGAACTCTTGCTCACTCTGCTTAAAACACTCATTTCTCATTTGTCTTGTGATTGTATTAGAAAATATTGTTAAACATACTCATTTCTATTCTACAGTACGTGGGGGAGGGGAAGAATGGAATATTGGGGTGAGTGCTGATTGGTGGATGTCTGGGGAGATTTGCATAAAGCAAGCACATATGTTGGAGAATGACAGTTACAACTTCAGTTAGATGAGGTTTTCTGAGTGAGAGAAGGGTTGGAGAGAGAGGAAAGAGAGTTGTTGTGATCAGTCTGAGTTTCCTTGAAGGAGATGTGAGAGAGGTAGAGAGAGTGGAATTTTAGATTTAAGAACTATTTATTTAAACTTGTTACGCTTGAGTGGGGGAGAAGTGGGGAAAGTGCTGAGGGGAGACAAGGTTTGGGAGAAGAGGACGAAGGAGGACAAGGAGATTTAACTAAACATGCCAAGGAAACGGGTGCTGGAAAATGATGACGTTGTCAGTGTGAAGCGGACAAAAGTCAGTCATCCAACACACCAAACGGAGCCTGGACTGCTGCTGACCTTGGGGCAGGGTGATCTTGGGCAGCTGGGCCTTGGCCCAAAGGTGATGGCACGGAAGAGGCCTGCCCTGGTGCAACTCTCCGAGAAGATCATCCAGGTAGAAGCCGGAGGGGTTCACACAGTGTGCCTCACCGAGACAGGCAAGATCTATACCTTTGGCTGCAATGATGAGGGTGCCTTGGGGAGGGACACTTCAGAGGAAGGGTCCGAATCCATTCCCGGGCTTGTCGACCTGAAGGAGAAGGTGGTGCAGGTGTCTGCTGGAGACAGCCACACAGCGGCCTTGACAGAGGATGGGCGTGTTTTCATCTGGGGTGCTTTCCGGGATGAAAATGGAGTCATTGGCTTACTGGCTCCTCTGAAAGGGGAAGAAAATGTGGATACCACAAAGGGCAGCCCTCTTCCTGTGGAGCTGCAGCTGGATGTACCTATGGTTAAGATTGCCTCAGGAAGCCATCACTTGGCGATGGTGTCTACGGCAGGCAAACTTTACACCTGTGGTTGCGGAGACAATGGCCAACTGGGCCGAGTGCCCCAAATTTTCACCACCAGAGGGGGACGAAGAGGATTGAAGCTGCTGCTGCTCCCACAAACAGTCGCTATCAAGCCGAGAGGCTGTAAGACCAAGGGACGCATCCAGGACGTATTCTGTGGGTCTTATTCCACCCTTGCCATCACACAAGAGGGGCATGTTATTGGATTTGGCCTCTCCAATTACTATCAGCTGGGTTCACAAGGGATTGAAACTTACTACTCGCCAAAGATTCTGCCCGCATTCAAGAACTCCAACAGATCTTGGGTCAAGTTCTCAGCTGGTCAACATCACACTGTGTGCCTGGACTCAGAAGGAACCGTGTGTAGTCTGGGCAGGGCAGACTACGGTATGCTGGGCCTTGGCCAGGGCTGTTCAGAGAAGAGCACCCCCACGGCCATTCCTGGGATACCCAAGTCCTCTTCAGTTGCCTGTGGAGAAAGAGTTGGCTTTGCAGTCACAGAAGACGGTCGAGCTTTTGCCTGGGGCATGGGCTCTAACCTCCAGCTTGGCACAGGCGATGAAGATGATGCTTGGAGCCCTCTTCAGATGTCTGGGCAACAGTTGGAGAATCGCAGTGTCCTCTCTGTGTCCAGTGGAGGGCAGCACACTGTCTTACTGGTCAAGGACAAGCAGTATTGACAAACTGTACTTGCATTATTGCTGAGAGCCACCCGAGGGCACTGATTTAATCCAGTTCATTGCAACAGTGTCATCTCAAAGGTGACAGAGAGAGACTAGCCTAATTTCAGACACATAGTCAGAAACTGCAGGAAGACGGGCACAGAGCAGTTTCCAACTTTGTCATCTGCAGATGCATTATGAAACTTGGGACCGTTGTACAAAAGACTTTTTTTAAAATAGTAAATTGAGGCCTGGGGTGGAAGCAGTTGGGTGCTTTTTGTGTTTTTTGAAAAATAAGGACAAAATTTAAAAATAATGGCATTTACTCAACAGACAAATCTGTAAATTTCTAAAAATTTCTAACTTGTTATGTTTAACTTCTGAAAATAATAGTTTTTCTCTCATCTAGGTTTTTGAAAATGCTATCTATATAAAAAGTTTTCTGAATTCAAGGTGTCTGTGATGGTTTCTGTATGGTGTCCGCAAAGGAACCTTGGGGGCATTTCAGAGTCCACAGGTCGTATACTATTATATGTGTGTGTGTGTGTGTATGAAATAAATAAAATAAATTATTAGGGGCAAAGAATGCTTTGGAGAACAGTGTGTAAACTACCATTAAAGGTGCCCAAGTAATTTAGCTTCAGAGATGCAACACAGAGGAGCCACATCAGGAGGAGGCTGCACAGGCTTCGAAAGTGACACAGGATTCAGTAACAAATCTCATACGACAGGCCTGGGCCTACTTGGGCCCTCCAGGCATTTTGGACTTCAACTCCCACAATTCCTAACAGCCATGCTGTTCTGGCTGTTAGGAATTATGGGAATTGAAGTCCAAAATGTCTGGAGGGCCCAAGTAGGCCCATGCCTGCGCACATATACAAACAACACACACGTGCACATTCACACACACATATGTACATACATACACACACACACACACACACATATATATACTGTATATACTCAAGTATAAGCCTAAGTTTCAGCCCCCTTTTTAGGCTGAAATAAATCCCCTCGGCTTATACTCGAGTCAAGGTTATTTATTATTTTACTCTGCTATTAGTATTATTTTTATTACATTTATTATTTTACTCTATTATTATTATTACATTTACATCATTTTACTCTATTATTACTTTTATTACATTTATTATTTTACTCTGTTATTACCTTTACTTTATTTTACTGTATTATTATATTTATTGCATTTGTTATTTTACTCTATTATTGTTATTATTACATTTATTACTTTATTATTATTACTATTATTATTAAATTTCCATTATTTACTCTATTATTATTTTTATTACATATTATTATATTTATTATTTTATTCTATCATTATAGGTAATAGCTAAGCACATTTACATTGAAGGCGGTTAGAATAATTGTTTAATCAGAGTTGGGCAGTCTTATCTTGAATTACAGTTTTGTGTAAATACTCAAAAACATTTAACCTACTGACGATTACCAGTAGCAGCTACATTTCTCACCCTCAGCTTATCCTTGAGTCAATACATTTTCTCAGTTTTTATGGTAAAATTAGGTCCCTTGGCTTATATTCGGGTCGGCTTATACTTGAGTATATATGGTGTGTGTGTATACACACACACACACACACACACATACAAGCATACACTGTCCTGCCACTGGAACACCTCAGCAAGCGAGAGTCCAAAAGTGGCAGGCTCAAACCCAGAACCTCAATCAATGGCTGACACCAAATGAGAGACTTCCCCCTGGGCACACAAAAAACTGGGCGACTTGGAAGGCGCTGAACAGACTGCGCTCTGGCACCACGAGATGCAGAGCCAACCTCAAGAAATGGGGCTACAAAGTGGAATCGACAACATGCAAGTGTGGAGAAGAGCAAACCACAGACCACCTGCTGCAATGCAACCTGAGCTCCGCCACATGCAGAATGGAGGACCTCCTTGCAGCAACACCAGAGGCATTCCAAGTGGCCAGATACTGGTCAAAGGACATTTAATCAACTACCAAGCCTGCAAACACTGTTTTGTCTGTTAGTTAAAAATTTGTTAGAAATGTAATACAATTGTCTGGTTGATACTGACACAATAAATAAATAACTGTCCTGTCTCCAAAGGCAGGATTTATAATATGCGCCCTGCGCCTTTAAGTAAAAGGCTGTAGGGAAGAGGAGCTTAGACTTCAAATGCAAAATGACATTTTATTTTAGTTGGAGCTTAGCATTGGGAGGCAGTAGAAGGGATAAGAAAGAGCACAAGAATTCTAGTTACATTGGAGAAATAGATAACAGTTACATCAGAGAGAGATAGTAGTTACATTGGAGATACATAGTGGTTACAGCAACGCGTGGGCAGGGTACAGCTAGTATAGAATAACCATGCAAGCACATGATGAAATTGCCCTGTATTGCAACTAAGGACTGTATGATCGAACCATTCTCCTTTGTTTATCTCCTTGATGTCACTGTAATTTTTATTGTGAGAACTAAACTCATATTCATCTCTTTGGACATTGAATATTGTATGAAATGACTGAATTTTGAATTTTAAATCTGTCTAATGTTCCCCAATATATGAATCCTCTTATCTTCATGAAGAAGCAACTGGAAAGCCCCTTTGATCAAAGGTTTGTTATCTTCTCAAGCTGATTCCAGGTATCCAGCCACATTCCATGTATTTGCCAGATGGTACGCAGCAGATGTAAAACTTCTGATCTTGGCCAAAAGTTGGGTACTTGTTCAGGGCATAATAACCATGGATGCATCATATTTGTTGGAAGTGAAAAAAAATACTTGGATTTAAGCAATTAGGGACAGAGGGAACTCTGGGGTGCACGCCTGCTGTCTTGTTTTTCCCTCTGTTTCTTATATGTACAAAACTCAGTGTGCTTTGCTCCTTGCCTGAATAGAGATACTACTTCTCTTTTTCCAAATGTCTTTAATGCTTTATTTTGGCAGAGAGAAAGGATTTGGTGTCTTTTTACATTATTTTTTTATTCAAGAGAACATATTTGCAAACAGAAAAAATAATTACAAAAAGTAAGAGCAGTAGAAAGAAAACAAAAAGAAATATTGTATATATGTAAAACTAAATTACAAAACTAATAGATCTCTGTCTGAGACTATCATCCTAACATATACAACCCACACTACTAAACATGTCAAAGCTCCTCCCACTATCTTCAACTGCCATTCCACTAGCTATTGAGTGGGATGGAGATGGACAAAGTGACATCATGCCTCATCCAGTGGCTATTGGGAGCCCCTCCCACTATCTTCAACTGCTATTCTGCTGGAATTGAGTGAGAGGGAGGAAGCTAAGAAGTCACAGCTACATCATGTCTCATACAGTGGCTGTTGAGAGTCATTCCCAATACTTTCAACTGATGGGAAACGTCCTTGCAGACGGCCAATTCTCTCACAACAGGATGCTCCTGACACGACCAAAAAAAAAAAAACTGATGTTCTGCTGGCCATTGAGTAGGAAGGTGGCAACCACACAAAGCCACATTGTGTCTCATCCCGTGACTGTTGAGAGCTCCTCCCACTACATTCAACTGTCATTCTGCTACCCACTGATTGGGGGAAGGGCAGCCAGAAAAGCACAGCTACATTGTGTCTCATCTAGTACTTCATCCCATGAGAAGAGGTAAGTAGGTGAGATCATATTTTTGCCACAATGTGTTGGGGGAAGCAACCTTCTCAAACCTCTTCTATACAATGCTTGCCTGTTTTGTAATGAATTGTTTTGTAACCTGGAGTATATGTCTTATTTGATTTGCAGTTTCCTTATCTCTATATAGCTAAAGCAGTGGGAGGGGCTGCAGGTCACGTGACTGACTCAGTAACAGTTTAGAATGTTCAGGTTCAAACAGGATGACAGTTAGGGAATGTCAGTTAAGGAATGACTGTTAGAGAAGTGTGTTGAGTGTTGAATGAGCTTGAGCATAGAAGTCTGTTAGAATGCAGAAGCTTATGTTAGGAAGTGAGAAACTTTTGAGACTTTGTTTTGTAACCTGAAGTATATGTCTTATTTGATTTGCAGTTTCCTTATCTCTATATAACCAAAGCAGTGGGAGGGGCTGCAGGTCATGTGACTGACTCACTAACAGTTTAGAATGTTCAGGTTCAAACTGCATGACAGTTAGGGAATGTCAGTTAAGAAATGACTGTTAGGGAAGTGTGTTTAGTGTTGAATGAGCTTGAGCATGGAAATCTGTTAGAGTGCAGAAGCTCATGATAGGAAGTGAGAAACTTTTGAGGTTTTGTTTTGTAACCTGAAGTATATGACTTATTTGATTTGCAGTTTCCTTATCTCTATATAGCCAAAGCAGTGGGAGGGGCTGCAGGTTAGGGTTAGGCTTGGGTTTTATTTGGAAATAAACTCTTATTAAAGAGAGCTGTATAAAGCAATATAGTTTATGAAGAAAGTGTTAAATATTGTAAGTTCAAAATACAAATTCTCTGAAATGTTTTTGAAGTTTTAACTCTTGACAAGAAATGTGCCTGTATCGTTAAATACATGAAGTTATCAGTAAACAAAACTTGTTATCTTCTTGCATCATTGTCTGCTGAAAGCATCAAACAGAAGCAAAATATCAATATGCCCAGCGACCATCCTCTGCCAGCCCGATAAGGTTGTGATCCTAACAGTTCATGATCTATACCCTGATGGTCAGTGATCCTACAAGGTCATGATCTATTGTCCCCAATAGAGTGCTTTGGGACACCTTGTTTTGAAAGTAAACATTTGGTTTTCCTACCCCCATTTTCCTACCCCTCTACCATCACACGTTCTGATGTGGTTCAGCCTATGATTGTGCCAGCACCTGAGGTCTCACAGGAGCCTGGTTCTGTACCTGATGTGGCTGGGGATTTTGGGAATTCTAAGTCAGTGTAATAGAGATACCCTGATAGCCATTAGGAATATCCCCACTTTGTGTCACTCAACTGTAGAGGACTTATTCTCCTTTCTTCTTCTTATAGTTTAATACTCGCTGCCACCAAATACAGAACACTTCAACAGGCTATCTCCTTATATGTGTAACTTGTATGTGAGGCACACACAGAGGGTTTTGTTTGGTATGAACAAAGAAATATGTTTATTTATTTAGAACAGGCACAGAAGCTTAATGGTTGCAGTATACTTGTAGAAAGTGTTATGGTTTCAGAAGTAGTTCAGTGCTTGAATTACAGGTTCCATTCAAAACCTTTAAACTGAGAAACTTTTAGTATTCCACTAAACAGTTCCTTCAAAACAAACAGCCCAATTCTCCAGGGTCTGTTTACACCAATAGTTCTTCCTTGAAGTAACTATTATATAACACAAACTAAACTTCCTTCTTCCTCCCTTTTCAAATTTCAAACTCCTAACTGCTATTTCCAAACTCCCACTGACAATTCCAAACTCCAACTGCTCTTCTCAAACTGCCAACTGACATTAGAATGGTTCCTTTTTTCCCC